AGACCTGCTCTAGAAAGGACTTGTGTCTGGCACCTTATCCTGCCACCGGATCCTCAGAAGTCTGCGGAGGCAAATCGTGTGGAAGTGGTTCAGTTGCCTAGCGTGCCTCCTGTATACAGTCCAAGTCTCACTGGCGTACATCAGGGTAGTTAACACTACTGCTCGATAGACTTTAAGCTTTGTAGCAAGGCTTATTCCACGGCGGTCCGTGGGACCGCCATGGAATTGGACATAATAGATATATCTAGGCAAACATGATGCTATCTGGATTTTAGGAACAGTCCCTCATCCATTCCTAAAGTGAAAATCAGACTCTATGAATAAAGTCCAAGCAGCTTGTATCAATATGATAGGGCAATATGATATACATTCCACCAAAAGCCAAAGAACAGCACAGGAATATTTTATGGGATCCTAGAGAGGATCACCAAAACCCTGGGTCTGAATATCTTGGTCCCTATCTTTGTAACAAACTTAATAAAATTTCAGGTACTCGTCCCTTAATTAGGGATATTGAGATTTTGCAAAGGAGGGTTCACAGCATGAACCCATCTCTGCATCTGACATGTTGGCACTGACAAATATTCTGCCAGAAGTCTTCATGAATTGCAAATACACGAAGGAACTGAGATGCAATAGAGGCATGTGAGAAGAGCTGTGAAACCTGGTATGCATGACTGCATAGACCCTGTAACCTGAACCCTTTCCTCAAGTGATGCTCTGACAACATTATCTAGGAGACTCAGCAGAAAGCTGGGGAATTAAAGCCGGAGACTCCACGATGCTAAACTCTGGATTGTCAGAAACACTATCAAAGACTCAACCCTGGAGTGGAGAAGAGGTTTCCACCGGGAAGGATGGCTAAGCAGGATAGATAATCCACACTGCTTCAGAGCATAATCAGTCAGACACTTTTTTTATCTGAACAGGAATTGTGCTAAGCACAAGAGCTACTGCAGTGCCTGTCATGCCCAGCACATACGCCTGTGTGCATGTCACAGCAGAGACCATGAACGTGATTGATGTGGAGCAAAGGAAGCACATCAAAGACAACTTAAAATTAATCCTGGCAGGACCTAAGAACAATACAGAAAACACTGGAAAGAGAAGCCCATGGCAATAAACTGTGTGCAAAACTATGAGAGTGCCGTGTGAGAAAGCATGAATACAGGTTCCCAACCAAAACAGCAAAGGCTCATGGTGGTCACTACCAACAATGAGGTAAGAACAGCAGTGGCTGGTGAATCTAAAAGAAAGACATAGGCTTAAGTCACAGATCTGGAATCAGTATGTTGGTCCAAACACTCTCAAAGTTTGGGGGTTGGATCCAGGACTTAGATTTGTCCCAGTATAAGGTACGGTCAGTTGCGACATTCAATTTTAAACTTCCCTAAGAATTAGGGGGGTTGAGAAAGTGTTTCCAATTTATACTAAGGGCTTGTCTACAAGGGTAAATTAATCGCAGTAGCTATTCCTCAGTAGCTGATGGACTGTCTCACTGCAGAATTCCAGCACTTTATATTCATACCCTCCCTTAATCCAAAATAACTTTCAAGTGTAACAGAGCTTAGGAGTTTGCCTACAGTACACTTTTAGTGTAAAGCCATTACATTATATCTTTAAATATATGGGGCCAGCTGCAATGCTCACATACAGAGCTCAGGGGAGTTACAGTCTGAGTTAGGGCTCAATTCATCTGACAGGGGTACAAATTCAAAATGAATACAAATATAAAATAATTTTTTCACCGATAGAACTTGCCACCTTGGGCAAACTTATTTAAAGAGGCTAAATATTTATTGGTGAAATGTACCACTGTGCAGGAAGCCCTATGCTCTCCTTAATGGGTAGCAGGTTTAAAACGAATAAAGAACGTTCTTCTTCACACAGCGCATAGTCAACCTGTGGAACTCCGTGCCAGAGGAGGCAGTGAAGGATAGGACTATAATAGAGTTTAAAGAGAAGCTAGATAATTTCATGGAGGTTAGGTCTATAAAAGGCTATTAGCCAGGGGACAGAAATGGTGTCCTCTGTTTGTCAGAGGCTGGAGATGGATGGCACGAGACAAATTGCTTGATCATTGTCTTCGGTCCACCCCCTCTGGGGCACCTGGCACTGGCCACTGTCGGCAGACAGGCTTCTGGGCTAGATGGACCTTTAGTCTGACCCAGTATGGCCATTCTTATGTTCTTAAATCTCACTTTGGACTTTGGGCATAAGTGGGGCTTAAGTGATATGTAATCCCCAAAGGCCTAAGTGGTAGTTAAATTATGCATAGGACTAGTGTGAACTTTCTGAACAGTGTTGATTTTCTCCCTATTTGCATATGTCTATGATATGCACTAGCTAGGTCAAAAAGCTGGAAGCTCTATTAACCTGAATGCTTAAAGGTTTTATCTGATCACCTGTGGAGGGAGCAAGGGAATTTTTCTCCTACTGCCAAAATATTGCACAGCAATATAAAGCCCATTTTTAGGTTTTTTTTTTTTACCTTCCTCTGAAGTAGGAGACAGAGGTCATTGCTAGAGCAAGATTACTGAACTATTCGTGATAGTCTGCTCAGCTATGGCAATTGTCATGTCATTAATATGCATGGAGCATTAATCAGGGTTAGCCATAGTCATTAGGCATTTAGATGTTATTTTAATTTGCAAATTGTTTGCAACAATCTTAAATTACCGTAGTTATCCGGTACAGTTTCTACTTCCTGATTAGATGGTGGAAATTTTGTGAGCAGGAGAACAAGTGATGAATGGTCAACAATGAATAATAATACAGCATTCACATTGTATGCACAGACCCAGAATCATTTGGTGCTGTCAACATTTTCATGAATGACTGCCTGAATATTTACAAACAATGAATTCTATGATCCCTCCAACTGCAGTAGAGCGAAGCTGGCCTGCTTGTTCATGAAACAGTTTATGATCAAACATTCTCAGGAGCCTGAAGATCTGCTCACATTAATGCCAAGATGATATTGTGGATTGCAAAGGCCATTGCCTGTTCTAAATAAAGCAGCAGATCTATTGGAACATACTGACACTCAGTCAAGCTTGTCATTGAATCTGGTCTTCTCACAGCTTCCCTGTTGTCATGCATGAAGTTATTTGGAGTCTAAAGAATGCACAACTAACCACCTTCATCTGCAGCCCTAGACTATTTCAGGTAGCAATATTTTTATCTCACATATGGTGCATTTTCTCTGTATTTTCCCCACTTTGTTTTTCATCTTAGGTTCTTGTGCTGATGGGGACAAGCACACAGTGACATCCTCTGTCAAGACCGTGAAATGACTCTGGCAGAACCTTTCTGTTCTCAGGCTTTCTGCTATTGAGTTGAATCATTACTTCTTATACATAGGAGGCAGCTTCTCTCACTATGCAGACCCTAGCAAGAAACAGACGCAGAACATTTTGTTCACTGATTAACGTGGAAGATGATTTGATTAATATTCTTGAGCTGCCTTTCCCAATCTGTTCTTCAGATACAGTCTATGCAGTATGCAAAGTCCAAACTTTATCCTCTAACTTGTTTTATAAATGCAGAAAACAATCAGGTAACCAAGAACTTAAGCAGGGGCTTAACTTTAACCATGCAGGCAGCCCCAGTAATGTTAAAGTGAATCATACAATAATAGAGCTGGAAGAGAACTCAGGAGGTCATCAAGTCTAGCCCCCTGCCCAAGGCAGGACCAATCCCAACTAAATCAACCAAGCCAGGGCTCAATGCATAATGAAATTCTTATGCTGGACTGGGGACATGCTTGAGCCTTCTTCCTAGGTTTGGCTGCTCCATAGAGTTCCTCCTTCAAGTCTGCTCAGCCCACATCCTTGATCTGCTTTCTTCCGAGAGCTACTTCCACCTTCATTATCTCCAAGGAAAACAATGAGTGAGGACAGCAGAACCCTATGAGTCCTTTCCCAGCAAGATCAACCGCTGCTAATAAGCTAGGGAAGGTTTCCAAGGTAGTGGTGGCTTCTGCCAGCCAGTTAACTCATCACTGTGGGAAACTATGTTTGAACATTCCACAAGTCTCCCACCGCATTAGAATCGGGCATGTTGTAGAGCTCAGGTCTTAGTCCATCTCCAGCCTCCCACAATGTACACAGCGTTTCAGAGTTAAGGAATTTTCTGTAGAATAAGGATTTGTCCAGTGCCCTCAGCCAATCATGTCCCGCCCCCTCCGCAGCTTTGCAGACACTGTGGGAAACTATGTTTGAACATTCCACAAGTCTCCCACCGCATTAGAATCGGGCATGTTGTAGAGCTCAGGTCTTAGTCCATCTCCAGCCTCCCACAATGTACACAGCGTTTCAGAGTTAAGGAATTTTCTGTAGAATAAGGATTTGTCCAGTGCCCTCAGCCAATCATGTCCCGCCCCCTCCGCAGCTTTGCAGAGCCAAGC